GTAGTGATGTCCATAGTTGTTTTCTGCAACACTTTGTAATTGAGGTGAGCTGAAAGTATATCACCATTTGCAAATGTTAATACCAAGCCTAATCCGAACACTTGGCTTATATTATTGGGCATTTTTAGCCACAAATAATAATAATTAAAATGATGTAATTTATTTATTACAATATTTTTGCATCCTTTCCAGGTTCCCACTGAAGATGAAAGATTGGAGTTTCTTGAGGCTATTTTGAGTGAGACTCCATTGGCTAAAGATGTCTCTCTGTCACAGATTGCAAAAAAGACTGCTGTGAGTAAACAATTAAAATGTCCACATCACAGCCTCATTAGAAAATGTACACATCACAGCCTCATTAGAAAATGTACACATCACAGCCTTATTAGAAAATGTACACATCACAACCTTATTAGAAAATGTCCACATCACAGCCTTATTAGAAAATGTATACATCACAGCCTTATGAGAAAATGTCCACATCACAGCCTTATTAAAAAATGTCCACATCACAGCCTTATTAGAAAATGTCCACATCACAGCCTTATTAGAAAATGTACACATCACAGCCTTATGAGAAAATGTCCACATCACAGCCTTATTAGAAAATGTACACATCACAGCCTCATTAGAAAATGTACACATCACAGCCTCATTAGAAAATGTACACATCACAGCCTCATTAGAAAATGTACACATCACAGCCTCATTAGAAAATGTACACATCACAGCCTCATTAGAAAATGTACACATCACAGCCTCATTAGAAAATGTACACATCACAGCCTCATTAGAAAATGTACACATCACAGCCTCATTAGAAAATGTACACATCACAGCCTCATTAGAAAATGTATACATCACAGCCTCATTAGAAAATGTACACATCACAGCCTCATTAGAAAATGTTCACATCACAGTCTCATTAGAAAATCATAATAAAAGCTCTTAGACTATTATGAAAATTTAAAATTCAGAAAAGAAAATCAGATTTGTTCATTTCATATTCAATTCTCTAATTTTGATGGATATTTTTGACTTCTTGTTGAAAACCTCAAGTCTGATTGCTTTGATATATATACATGTATAGGTACCTCAGGTGGACTTTGCCCAGATTTTTTCATTTAATGGTGATAACTTTAATTCTAACATTTTGATGGATATTTTTTGTCATTTTTGGTGCAAAGTGATATTTTCAGCTTATACTTGAAAAACTAATTACCTCAGGTGTACATCTCTCAGATTTGTTCATTTCGGGAAGATATTTCTATCTAATTGCATTGCAAACAGCGGAACTGTCTCAGCTGGGAGGTTGCTTTTCTTTCAACAAATGAACTGTGCCTTAGTAAATTGGTTTTCTTGGTTCATCTCAAAATATTCTCATATATAGTATATTTAACTTTAAAACTAATATCTTTGCAGGGTATGGTATTAGGAGATCTTTGTGCTTTCATGGCATCAACAAATAGAGCAGCTTATAAGAGGATTGTTCAGACATGGTAAATCAATCACTTTCATTTCAATTAACATGAAAAGTTATTTTTTGTTTCATCACATGTGTAACTGATTTTGTGTTGTGTAGTTCTTTTGGTAACAGACTGTCCATGCTGGAAGAGAAGGATCTATGCAGTGCTGGTATACAGGTTCATATGAAAGACATAGAAACAGCATTAGATCTCTATCAATCGGCTCATTCAGATGCATTAGGTGCTCCTAAGGTGAGGAAGAAAAGATATTAATCAATATTTTGATTACTGTATTTGCTCTAAATGACGGATGACTATGATCAAAATAACTCCAGATCCATTTTAATGATCCAGTATACAATATGGCAATGTTTAGTTTAAAAAAAAAAGTTACAGGCACAGATGTGTACATTTTCTATTAAGGCTGTGATGTGTACATTTTCTAATAAGGCTGTGATGTGTACATTTTCTAATAAGAGCAAATAATGTACTTAAATTTAACTAATAGAGTGTGCAATATATTCAGTGTTACTCTTCAGTAAAGAATATGAAAGTTGTTTGAGTGCACAAGATACAGAATATTATCATCATGTATATGTTATAAATAGTTAAAGTATTATTACATAATAAAATATATACACATTTTTAATTTTTATTTAGACAACCACTTACCGGGTGCTATAAACATGATCTACAAAATTAATGCTGTGAATTGAGCAGTAACCTGTTTGAGAATAGCGCCACCTAGTGTTAAAATCAAAAGTCATCACAAATTAGTACTTTTCCTCTATTAATAAGTTATTTATTCACACTTTCATTTCATCACTGCAACTACTCAATTAGCAATTTAATAATTGTGATTAGCTAAACTTGTACTTGTACATGGTAACACATTGCCTGCAGAAAACTTCCATGAATGGGAAAAATCAGCAGGCAATGTGTTATTGTCTACACTAGGCTATAAATACAATAACATTTGTTCCCACCAGCAAAAATTCAAAAATCAAACATAAAAGTCAACATACAATATACTATTATACCAATATTTGACCATCACCAAGAATATGAATTGTTATTGAAGGTTTCCAAATGTGTTGTACACTTTAAACAATTTTACTACAGGAAAATTGCTCAATAGTAGGTTATATTCATAATATTATGCTTTGAAACAAAAAAGAAAATTGTGATAAATCCATAAAATTTGAGATATCTGTTGACTGACAGGTGCCTAATGTGCGATGGGATGATGTAGGTGGTCTGAATGATGTCAAAACTGACATACTAGATACAATCCAGTTACCATTACAGCATCCTGAACTATTAGCATCAGGACTTAGAAGATCAGGTTAGTTTGTAACCATATACCTAGCATGACTTTGAAACCTAGTGTTAAATGTTAAACACAGGATGAGAAAATTTTGAACTTGAATGATTTACAATATATTGATTTCTTATAAAATGTGTTTGGTTTTATTAGATTTCTTGTAACACAATTTTTTTACATGTTTTCTGTAAATACCATTACAGTACACTTTGTCATTTTTGATATTTAGTGGTCGGCACAACACTAGGTTTTCTAACTTCAATACATGATTGCTTACAGGTGTGTTATTGTATGGCCCTCCGGTACAGGAAAAACATTAATGGCTAAGGCTGTCGCTACAGAATGCTCGTTAAACTTTCTAGGTCAGTATTTATATTAATTATACTTATGTGAAACTTTGAGGAGCTGTGTATCTTAATAGTTGTCAAACCTTAAGATATTGATCCAAATCCAATACAATGAGAGTGTTATTAATGCATGAATCAGTAAGTCATAAAATAACACATGTATATATGATGGAAATTCATTATTTATAACATTGTCCTCATATTACAGTGTTAAAGGCCCTGAACTGATTAATATGTATGTTGGACAAAGTGAAGAAAATGTCAGGGAAGGTTAGTATGATCTACCTAATATCAAAACGTACAATCACACATTTTATTCAAGTTTTGTATCAACCACCATTAATTTCTCAATTTTAGTGTTCAGCAGAGCTCGCAATGCTAGACCATGTGTTGTGTTTTTTGATGAGTTGGATTCCTTAGCTCCGAACAGAGGGAGAAGTGGAGACTCTGGTGGAGTCATGGATAGGTAATTATAAATATCTTTATTTTTATATA